GGGGTGAAGTTTAATTCACTTGGTATTGTTTTACTTGAATCTTCCCATTAATGTTTTAGGCCTGAAATTGATCAGTCTCTTATTGGCATATGTGCATACTGTGCGTATGCCTCGATATTGCCTTAATTTACAAGCATTGTTTTGTTTTGTTTATTATTGTTATTATTCTTTTATCATGACTCTTCTTTTTTAAGTCAGTTTTGTTGTTGTTGTTGGAAATGTTTACATGTCATTTTAATAAAAAGGGAAGAAATAAAACTAAAAATTAAGAGGATGGTTTAGTAACCATGTATAATACTAGTTAAAAATGCATTTTATATGTACACATGATATTTAGACTAATTAAACATTATCCTTATTATTATTTCAAACTAGTTGTCATGACAACTGTTGAGTTCTAAATTACATTTGTTATTATTGTTGACTCATCTTGATTAAATCAATAATTGGTATGTTTATATTTACATAGGGATGTGTTTGTATGAATATGCATCTTCATGTTGTGCCGATTTGTCTAATTAATCTTTTACTATTATCTATAACTTGAATAGACTTGAATGTAATATTATACAGTACAGTAAATAAGTATATCAGATGTAAGATAAAATAGGTATCGGTTTGAAAGGCAACACTTCATAATAGATTAATTTTCTATTCAAATATGTATCATTTCTCACTGACTAGATTACTGAAAGGTTACTAGTGAACAGTCTGTATTATTATGTAATCTTATTTCAAGTTAGTCAGTATTTTAGTAATTCAACATTATAATCCTATTACATAAGAAGGTAAGTGTAATTAAATGAAATAATAGAAGAAAAATAAAAATTGATTGAAGTTAGACATTAACATCGTTGAATGCCGGCCATCTAAGTGGTCTAGTTGTTGAAGCGCCTGGTGCGAGACTCATAGGTCCTGGGTTCGAATCTCGCGGAGGCTGGGGAGCGGGATCGTGGATGTGCACTATTGAGGAGTCCCATGCTAGGACGAAATGGTCATCCAGTGCTTCCAGGTTTACCATAGTGGTCTAGCTTCAATTGACTCATGATTTCAATCAGTGAAAAAAATAAAGAGATTACATTTTTAGTGTGATTGATTAACAGTGAATTGATTAAAATTGTAAAAAGTTGGTGCAGAAAGATATTGATTTTTGTACTGATTTACATACATCAAGCAGCAATATAGTTATCAATTGTATACTATGAGATTTACTGCTAATTCAATGAAGTGTTACTGTGTTTGTTAGAAAAATCAGTTTTATTATGGAATTGCTTAAATTTGTTTCGTTTGTTTGTTTTGTTTTTTTCGTTCAAAAATTAAGTAATGTAAATAATACAGCATAGCAACCAGACAATGAATACTACTTAATAATCATAAGTAGTATATGTTTCGTATTTTTGAAGTTATGTCTAGTAACACAATGTCAAATAATGACAATTCATAGGTAGATGAAATGAATTAGAACGACTATGTATTCCTACTTCATAGGGTAACATTTTTAAATGAAATAGAAAAAGTGGCTAACAGTAGAACAGTACATTTTTAGCCTAGATATTAATGATTAACATTTTTAAATAAATTTATGACAAGCTAAAGGATTCGAGTAAATTACTTTATTTTAAAAGAGATTTTGTTTATCATGAAGATAATGTTAATTGAAGATGGAATAATGGAAACTATTTAAGATGGATGGTGGCTATCATTGGATTCCAGGATGCGCATTTCCTCCTATTTGAAACTTATAAACTGGATGTACCAGCATCCCAGAGTTAATGTTCACTCCAAGACTTGAACCAAATACTGTTCACTCTAAACGCCATCGCGTTATTCACTTAGCTACTGGATCCAAAACAAACCAAACGTGCGTCCTGGATTCCATTGCTAACCACTAGCTATCTTTGTTTACAATGCTTGTGACATCAGGCAATATTGAAGCAAACCGTACAGGTTGCACATATGCCCATAAGAGATCGATCAATTGTAGTCTTAAACATCAATGGTAAGATTCAAATTAGCAGTAAGAAATCAATGAAAACTAGTGTTAAGAATAAAACAAATAACTAATTCAGTGATGAATTATATTATACATTTAAAATGTTATGTAGTTAATTATAATTAGTACTATGGATGTCGTTTAATCAATGGTTGGTGCATAAATCAATATACTTAAGAAACCTGTTTTTTTCGTCATTGTGTCAGTCAAGTAGTCTCATGCTGTTGTCATAAATTAGCATGTAGACAGACGGATTACAAAGTGATAGCAAACAACCGTTTTAAGAGTAATAACCAGTATTTAGTTCAAGTCAACATTGACAAATCAGTGTTTCTTCAAGCCTCTAAAACTAGCAATCAATGGGTTAGATGTAATTTGGGACTCTCATCTTATTTTATTGAAAATAATAGTAGAATTAATAATGTATTTGACAATAACTAGTTTAAGTAATTAGTGATTAGTGGATACTTACTGAGTCAATAGTAAGACAAATATATCCATTTATAGTAGACAATGATCGTAGAGTATCATGAGTTTACTGAAATAGGAAATATGTACTGACCTTCAGTGACTAGAGGTAGGTGATAGAAATTACTGTTCGACCTAAGCTTCATGCTAGTTGGAGTACGTTCAATGATTCTTTTTTGTTTTAATAAGGTCTCCAAATCTTGGATTTGATCGTTGGAATGGCTGTCTAGATAAAGTTATATGGTGATTTAAACTGGGAACTTACATTGACTGATTGCTCAGCAGTGTCCGATGTCATATTTGCCTAGTCCTACTTAGCAGAGACTGAATTTGAAATGTATCCACAAGTTTAAATGATTCGATATCATAGGATATTTTTAAATGTTACTCGACCTACATTCCATGCAAGTCAATACTAGTCAGTAAGATGTACGTAGAATCTTCAAGGAATCAATGCACTCTAAGAGATTTGATTCTGCATCATTAAGATTACCAGTTTTCATCATCACTTAACAGTCGATATGTAATTTTACTGAGAGGATTTGTTCACTGACTACAACTTGAATGAATGAAATAGATATATTTTTGTTTGTTGAAATTTGTTTGCTAAAAAATATTTTTAGAATTTATGTCACCGAAAAGTACTTCGTTTAACTTTCATAACTGAATCAAACAAGTTCCAACTACGACATTGATGTCAACTGAATGGTCTCCACAACCCCTATACTAGTAATTAACATGTGCTCACTAGTAATTAGCTTCGTGAGGGAATTCTCGGAGTTCTAGTGGGAAGCCGTGACCAGTGGAGCCAATCCATGTCGGGTAGAGATAGGTATCTACCTCACTACAATGGAAGATGGTCGCGCAATTTTGTGCATTGATTGATGTTAGACACTATCATCATTGGATACCGGTTTAGTGGTCCAGTAGGCTAATTGTTCGCATGCGAGACCGAAGGCCCTGAGTTCGAATCCCGCAAGCGTGATCGTGGATGCGCACCGCTGAGTCCCACAATAGGACGAAACGGCCGTCCAGTGCTTTCAGGTTTCCAAAGGTGGTCTAACATCAGTCGGTTCATGATCTCAATCAAAAACTTAATGATCTCCACAACCCTTATACTAGCGAATGGTCTAAAGTTTAAACATTTTTCATGACGCATGAAGGTCCTTCGTTCGATCCATCGTAGTGTGATGAATAAGTACAATCATGAATGAGGAACATACTTAAATAAAACAACAATCTAAGACTTCCTAGTTTTCAATAATTGTTTAACTAAACTTAGTCCGTGATTTAAATCTACAATCTACACAATCATTGAAATATAACCTGTTAGTATTCATTGTATAAATTCTTATCGTAATTGTATAATGTAATTCTATCATTTATAAGATTTCCTTTTAATTTAAAAGTTGAGATCATAAGTTAATTGAAGTTAGGCCATCATGGAAAACCTGGAATCACTGGACAGGCATTTCGTCCTATTGTAGGACTCTTCATCTGCATGCATCAACGATCCCGACCTGATAGATCCAAACCCAGTACCTATCAGTCTCGCTAGCGAACGCTTAACCTCTTTTTAGTGGACTAGTTATTGATTAAGATATGTAATAGAAAACAAACGAGTAGATTGGCTCATTCTACTCATCTATAAAATTGTTTATAGACGTAAATTCAAATAATTTCTCTTACACTTCACATAAAACATTATTTTAATATGAATAAATTAAAGACATGCATCATACAAAATGGCTGATATATCGCAGATTTCAAAAGCAAAAGCACCCAGATTATTTAGCGATTTTTCTTCCAAAGAAAAACTGAAGTAAATATCGAAAACAAACAATTTGCACCCAAAAATTAAGTCGAACTTATACACAAATAAGTCACCATTTTCAGATGATTTATTCACAGTCACATTAATACTTAGATTTGTTTAAATCAAACTGAGTAGTAATTAGCATCAGTTAATTCATAAATCACTTTCTCAACACATTTATCACATCATACAATGAAGAATCTACAACCGACAGTTACAACAAATTCACCGAATTATGTAACATCCCCCCTCCAAAATGTGATTAATGTCATAGACGATTAGAAAAACAGTTAGTTCCACATGTCCTACAGATTCCAATCGGTTAAATTATTGCTCACCATGTAGAACAATCATGAGTCAGCATTACAAATAAGTAGAATTTTCATCATTTCGTTATGCATCAACTGATATGATCATTGAAAAAACGTCAACTTGAAGAAGATACATGTTTACAGTTGTGGAACAGACAGCATTCACCAGAATTATATCCATATATATATTGATTAGTTGTTGGGATTCATAAATATTATGAACTGTCTCTAATTGTACCACAAACTCTTATTCCTACCTACCCTTCTACCTCATTCTTCTCTTTCTACCAACTTATATAATTTAATTACCACAATTCATTTACGTAATTGTTTATTATTTACACTCTCCACTTGATTTATGCAGAGAATCAAACATTCCACTTCAGACACTTCAGTCAAATAAAAGCTTTTAATGGATTCAATTTTCGAAAATTGGTCTCCTTTCTCTTCATTCGCAATCGACAAAACAATGTCAAGTGTTACGTTGATTCAAACACATACATATTTGCATAATAATAATAATAATAATAATAATAATAATAATAATAATAATAATAATAATAATAATAATAATAGATGTTTCTCTTTTTCTGCGATGCATCATTTGAATGTGTTTGGGCACCGATTTCAGTGCATATCTCCTGGAACACTGTTAATACGTGCATCCTCAATAGCACAGTTACCAATAGTACAAATACATCAGAACGTCGAATCGAACGACTATTTCGATGCATTCTCACTGAATGCACATTCACAAATAGAGAATGATTAGTTGTTATGCTGAATACAACACCCACATGAACAATCAATTCTAATTGTCTCCATTACACATTCTCATTATTCTACTAATTCTGTGTCTCAACCATCAAACGAATTAATTTCTTCATAAAAATTATACAAGTAACTCGTAACTCATAACACATACACACTGAGAACTACATCCAAGAAAATATCAATTCATTTTGAAAATAGTGAGTATCTGAATGCACATCTACATTACACAGATATGTTCACGTTGATAAAAGTAAAAGGGAGGGAGATTTTAGACAACCGATATGAGCACAGCACTAAAGAACATCTGATTCATCAATTATTTTGATTGAACAATTGTCACAGAATTGTTGGTCGTGTGAATGACAAGTTGTATGTAACATGCATTAGTAGTATTAAAATCATTTTACAGTGCAACACCATTTACTTCATCATACACATCCATCATACTCGTCAATCTTGTAAACACACAGTTGATTTCATTCATAGATTAATACGATAAGTAGACGGGACATATGCAGCGTCATATGTGTCCACGAATCGGTAGTGTCATTTCTTTCGGTTGGAATGTTCATCAAACCGTTTATTGACATTCGCGTTTCACAACACCAACATATTCAGCATTACCTGATGTCATTCGTGTGAACAGGTGAAATAAACAATGTAATCGTTTGGCATTCCTGTTCAACATCAAAACTCACAGAAGTATCTACATGTGGAAAGATGTTCAATACAATGAGACATTGAACTATATCATAATTCAACTGATGTTGGAATGTTGAGATCGAGTAACTGTAGATCAGTAATTTGTCGAACAAAGAAACCTGAATGTTTGGAAAATTCAATCATATACACCATCCAGTTTCACATCCACTCTGTATTTCATGTTCACATATGATTATTTGGCCAGCAATATATGTATTTCAATTTAAGTGAACTCAAATCTCTAATGGATCTCAATTGACAAATCCCTCGGTTTCCAATTATTAATGGAGAGAGAAGACGGCAAAACGGTGACAGTGTTATTCAAAAGTGTTGTTCCCATTCTTAGAAAATATTGAGACAAACATCAGACAACCGAGATTGCCAGTTTCCATATCAACATGAGTTCATTTCACTCACACAAACTGTGATCTAACAAACCTACCGAAATCAATTCAACACATCAATCTCAGTTGATACCAATTTATCTTTGATGAATTTTATCAAAACAGTATGGTGTTGTGAGTAATTTGATGTAGACAGTCGGATTTTGAACAGTTAACATCTTGAGTTCAAAGTATGTTCATTCAGTTTGTAACAATGATGGATGAATTCGAATGTAATCAATCATTCAGTAGTCAAAAACACTGTTCACATTATTGAGTTGTACACATTGTTAGTCGGTGATAAACATATGTGTACATATTACAGTCTAAATGAATGGGCCTGTTTGGAATGAGATTGATTGACCGTGCAGTCATTCAACTGACAAACGTGCACTGTAAAAATTGTTGACAGAATCAATGTAACAATTATTGTTACACAACACTGGTTGTTTAATTCACATTACAGTTGATTTTGCAATTGTGAAGATGCAAAATCGAGTTACTTGTGTTAGTTTGATTCGAAGATACATACGCAACCACACAAATAAAGTGAACAAGTGGAGCTGATCTCGCCATCATTTAACATCAGTTTACATCCAGCTTAATCAACCAAAGTCAACAAGTTCCACAACAAATCTTATCTTACCACTTCATTCCAATGTCTATAATCGATGTGTATATTTGCATAATTTGAATATGAAATAATCAAATGGTCATCAAGTAATGCACAATCGAATTTCACTAGATGCACTCTGTTAGGATGATGTCGAATATAGATGAAACAGTTGTGTAATGTTCGTGTCCATTTCACTGGATTGAAATCTGATGACAAGACAACGTGTGATGTAAATGAACACATCTGAATAATTGTTCCCAGTTTTCATCACTTGTTTCCTTCATTTAATGATCAATGCATGTATTTATGTAAAACTGTACTGAAGGAAGGCCTAAGATCACATTACGTCGGATAATAGAAGCAGATATGAAAAGGAACTGGAAGGAGCTGGAAAGGATTGCCCAGGACATATGTTTATCATCGACTAACAATGTGTACACATTACAGTCTAAATGAATGGGCTTGTTTGAAATGAAACTGATTGACAGTGTAGTCATTCAGCTGACAAGATCAATGTAGCAATCAGTGTTACAAGGATTTATTTCACAATACACAACACTAGTTGTTTAATTTACATCACAGTTGCTTTTGCAATTGTGAAGATGCAAAATCGAGTTACTTGTGTTAGTATGATTTGAAAATACACACGCAACCACACACACAGAGTGAACAAGTGGAGCTGATCTCGCCATCATTTAACATCAGTTTACATCCAGCTTAATCAACCAAAGTCAACAAGTTCCACAACAAATCTTATCTTACCACTTCATTCCAATGTCTATAATCGATGTGTATATTTGCATAATTTGAATATGAAATAATCAAATGGTCATCAAGTAATGCACAATCGAATTTCACTAGATGCACTCTGTTAGGATGATGTCGAATATAGATGAAACAGTTGTGTAATGTTCGTGTCCATTTCACTGGATTGAAATCTGATGACAAGACAACGTGTGATGTAAATGAACACATCTGAATAATTGTTCCCAGTTTTCATCACTTGTTTCCTTCATTTAATGATCAATGCATGTATTTATGTAAAACTGTACTGAAGGAAGGCCTAAGATCACATTACGTCGGATAATAGAAGCAGATATGAAAAGGAACTGGAAGGAGCTGGAAAGGATTGCCCAGGACATATGTTTATCATCGACTAACAATGTGTACACATTACAGTCTAAATGAATGGGCTTGTTTGAAATGAAACTGATTGACAGTGTAGTCATTCAGCTGACAAGATCAATGTAGCAATCAGTGTTACAAGGATTTATTTCACAATACACAACACTAGTTGTTTAATTTACATCACAGTTGCTTTTGCAATTGTGAAGATGCAAAATCGAGTTACTTGTGTTAGTATGATTTGAAAATACACACGCAACCACACACACAGAGTGAACAAGTGGAGCTGATCTCGCCATCATTTAACATCAGTTTACATCCAGCTTAATCAACCAAAGTCAACAAGTTCCACAACAAATCTTATCTTACCACTTCATTCCAATGTCTATAATCGATGTGTATATTTGCATAATTTGAATATGAAATAATCAAATGGTCATCAAGTAATGCACAATCGAATTTCACTAGATGCACTCTGTTAGGATGATGTCGAATATAGATGAAACAGTTGTGTAATGTTCGTGTCCATTTCACTGGATTGAAATCTGATGACAAGACAACGTGTGATGTAAATGAACACATCTGAATAATTGTTTCCAGTTTTCATCACTTGTTTCCTTCATTTAATGATCAATGCATGTGTTTATGTAAGACGGTACTGAATACTCTCAGTTATGGAATTTCGGGATGATGAATACAGATTGATGGTATTGTCATAGAATTGTATGAACCAATTTAAATATATTTACATTCATAAGTGGATCCACTGCTCGTTGTAGGAAGTAGCATCATACTACATAATTTGACAGTATAAATGTGAATTAAAAATTTTTTTTAAATATGTCCGAGTTAGATCGTTCTGTACAGACATGAATATTTACTGTTGAAGAATCAATAACTGGAATGAACTGAGGCTTCTCATATACTCGTTACTCAAGTGAATTTTATCTGTAACTTATATTCTAATGGTAATATTGTTTAGAAATAAAGTACCGATTTAAATAAATCACTATTTAATGTCAAATATTTTATTCACATTGGGGAACTAACTGATTGAATATTTCAATTTCATTAAACTTTTGATATTTTCGTCTGTATATGATAACCGTCCAATGGAATAAACACGTCGTGTTGTGAAAAACACGTTGTTTATGTTTTGTTTAAAGTTTACTTACTGTAGGAAGTCTAACAATCACTATCTACCATATTGCGTTAACTATATATAGTTATATGGACCTATGTAATTACTCATTTAGATTCTACTATTTCACATAGATTTACTGGATGGTTGTACTAGCTAAAGACAGAAAACTTAGGGTTCACAGGTGACACCGTGCTGAAGATTGTATTAAGGTGAGATGACAGTACAAAGTTCTTTTCTTCAAAGTAAGATCACTAAGAATGCAGCCGTCTCACAATAGAAAGAGGGGATTAAAATAGCGAACACTGGAATAGCATTATTGACCTAGCCCGAGGACTTTTCGGTGTCAACAATACGGAATGAAAAGCATGAAAATGTATTCAAATAAATATCATGTATAACTGACCTCAAAGTAATGGGCTCTGAGTTAAACATTCAAAAGTTTAAAAACCAGTAATAGTTCAATTACTTTATCAATTACTTTGACAATGTGTTAGGAACTAGAAAATAAAAGCCACTTGTACGCCTCATTCTTGTTTACTTTTAAACAAAAGTATATCATCACAACACAAATTTACTATTCTTTTGAACTTCTGATTTAATTACTACTACTACTACTACTACTACTACTACTACTACTACTACTACTACTACTACTACTACTACTACTACTACTACTACTACTACTACTACTACTACTACTACTACTACTACTACTACTACTACTACTACTACTACTACTACTACTACTACTACTACTACTACTACTACTACTACTACTACTACTACTACTACTACTACTACTACTACTACTACTACTACTACTACTACTACTACTACTACTACTACTACTACTACTACTACTACTACTACTACTACTACTACTACTACTACTACTACTACTACTACTACTACTACTACTACTACTACTACTACTACTACTACTACTACTACTACTACTACTACTACTACTACTACTACTACTACTACTACTACTACTACTACTACTACTACTACTACTACTACTACTACTACTACTACTACTACTACTACTACTACTACTACTACTACTACTACTACTACTACTACTACTACTACTACTACTACTACTACTACTACTACTACTACTACTACTACTACTACTACTACTACTACTACTACTACTACTACTACTACTACTACTACTACTACTACTACTACTACTACTACTACTACTACTACTACTACTACTACTACTACTACTACTACTACTACTACTACTACTACTACTACTACTACTACTACTACTACTACTACTACTACTACTACTACTACTACTACTACTACTACTACTACTACTACTACTACTACTACTACTACTACTACTACTACTACTACTACTACTACTACTACTACTACTACTACTACTACTACTACTACTACTACTACTACTACTACTACTACTACTACTACTACTACTACTACTACTACTACTACTACTACTACTACTACTACTACTACTACTACTACTACTACTACTACTACTACTACTACTACTACTACTACTACTACTACTACTACTACTACTACTACTACTACTACTACTACTACTACTACTACTACTACTACTACTACTACTACTACTACTACTACTACTACTACTACTACTACTACTACTACTACTACTACTACTACTACTACTACTACTACTACTACTACTACTACTACTACTACTGTAGTGAATGAGTACACCAGTGGGACAATCGAATGCATTTGAACACAAAATTACAAAATCTCTTAGTAAAATCTGAGAATCATGCTGTAACTACTTAATTCGCAAAATGTCAATCATTCGTCTCAGACTTCACTGTTCCTTCACTTCCATATCAATCGCTTTCTGTTTGATTCTTTCTTTCTCGATCTTCTCGACCTTCTGCCGCCAGATATTCTATTCCCCATTAGCGTTATATACTACTTGTGTCAATATAAGTAGCATACACCACACGACTACTACTAACAATAACAATACCAATAATAGTGATTGGATGCATTGATAAGTATAAATATATCTTCCATATACCTTAATTTAATTTTATCTTTTCATTTAATTGAAGCCTAAAATAGGAAAAAAAATTTCCATGTCAGAATAAAATCAAATTCTTAATTTTATTCATCCTAATTTTTTCACCTAATTTGTTTATCGTACTTAGTGTTGTTTACTTGTATCTTCCTATTGTTATTTAGGACTGCAATTGATCAGTCTCTTGTTGGCATATGGGCATCCTGTGCGAACTGCTTCGATATTGCCTTAAATCACAAGCTTTATAAGCAAAGATGGATAGTGGCTAGCAGTGAAATAAAGAAAGCACGTTTCATCCTGTACAAGCATGTAGCTATCAGGACTCAATAGTTAAATGGATAACGCGATAGCGTTTGAAGCGAATGATACTGGGTTCGAGTTCCAGAGTGAACATCAACTTCGAAATACAGGCACATCCAACTGACAAGTCCCTCATAAGACAACACAAGCGTCAAACTGGATTCCACTGTTAGCCACTATTCATTTTTGTTTATCTTATATATTTTATATTAGAAATTAAAGGGAAGATTAAATATGAACAATTGTTTTGTATTGTTTTTTACTTATTAAGATTGTTTAAATGATTAACACTAATGATATGTTGTTCAATGTACAAGATTCATTTTAAAATTCATCATAATAATTGTTTAGTAGTAGTTATTTACTACTCATTTCTATAAATGAACAATGATATACATTATAATAGAGGAAATACATCGGTAGGGTTGATCATATCATCTGACATTTTTTTATTAAGATTTAATGTTGTGATAAATAAACAGGGGAAAATAAACACAACCCGTTGGGTTTAACTTGAACAATTTAGACAATGATAAATATAATGATGATAAACAATTACTATGTTTATGCTAATTTCTTACAAAGATATGAATATAGTAATAATAATTATTGGTACTGTCATACCAAGTTATGGTTGTAGTGTCGATTATTATGTTAAGTCCATATACCTTATTCTAGCATTCGGACATCCCATTCTATTCATTCTACTTGAGTCACATTCTGACCTTGTTATTTATTCGCTTATCAATCTTGATTGTTTTTATATGAGCGCGTAGGTGTGTGTACATTTCTCATCACATGCCTGTAACTTACCTTTTGATTAACGCTTGGTTAAATGGGAATTGGCTTACCAGCCATCTCCACTCGGCGTCGTTTCTCTTCTATCTATTCCATTCGCTTTATATACAAGATATATGTATTCACAAGTCCATTCTCGTTATTCGACTTATTTAATTCCGTTATTGACTAAGTCGATGATTGTGTACGAGGATAGGCGATAACAAACATTCATTACGATCTAATTGGAGTCAGATCCACGGGCCACTACAGTGGAGAGCCCTTTCGATAACATCGTCCGATCTAAATGACGATTAAATAACGGGCTTCCACAAAATGGTGAATGCTAAATGTCATTGAGATCATTAAACAATCTGTGTTGACTAATAGTTAAATTTGAGACGAAATTCTGAGAAGTTTAGTCAGAAGGTATGATGAGTGAATTTCTATTATGCTAGGTATGAGATACTTATCGAAAATAATGGGAGATGGTTGAGAAATATCGTGAACTAGTTGTAGTTTAATATATGTATCATTATAATTAATAATGTAAATGGGTGTACAATCAATATATAATGAATGTATTCTCGACTAGGATCGTCGTGATGATTTGTCGTGAATAAATCTTCACTTGTACCAATCAGTATCACTGTTCATAATTCACGTCGTGAGAACTGCATGGTATAGAAACAGTATAAAATATGTTGGCCAAACATTTCGGTTAAAAGTCTTTGAATGCTAATTGATCATTATTTCATGCAGTATTGTGTATTAACAAACTCATGCAAATGGGTCAATCTTATTAATTAGAAAAGTTCCACTGACGATAACAAAACCAATAAAAAACTATATTACTTACTTACGCGTGTTACTCCTAATGGAGAATAGGTCGCCGACCAGCATTCTCCTACAAACTCTGTCCTGGGCCTTTCTTTCTAATTCCATCCAATTCTTGTTCATTTTTCTCATGTCTATCTCCATTTCTCGACGTAATATGTTCTTTGGTCTTCCTTTCCTTCTTTGGCCTTCATGATCCATGTGAGGGCTTGTCTTGTGAGGTAGTTGGGTGCTTTCTTCAATGTGTGTCCTATCCACTTCCAGAGCTTCTTCCTGATTTCTTCCTCCGCTGGGATCTGGTTTGTTCTTTCCCACAGTAGGTTGTTGTTGATAGTGTCTAGCCAACGGATCTGAAGTGCTTTGCGTAGACAACTGTTAATAAAAATTTATATATTGTGGATGATGGCTTTCGTAATTCTCCAGGTTTCCGCTCCATACAGTAAAACTGTTTTGACATTTGTATTGAAAATCCTGACCTTTGTGTTGGTTGACATTTGTTTTGAGCTCCAGATGTTCTTCAGTTGTAAATATGCTGCTCTTGCCTTACCGATCCGCGCTTTCACATCTGTATCACACCCACCATGTCCATCAATGATGCTACCCGAATATGTAAAGCTTTTCACATCTTCCAAATCTTCTCCGTCAATTGTGATTGGATTGTTGCATGCTGTGTCGTATTGGAGAACCATGCTTTTCCCTTTGTGTATATTGAGACTTACTGCTGCTGAGGCTGCTGCTACACTGGTCGTTTTCTCCTGCATTTGTTGTTACGATTGCGATAGGAGGGCTAGATCATCTGCCGATCCGCGCCTTCACATCTACATCAGGTCCACCCTGTTCATCAGTGATGCTGCCTAAATATAATAAAAAACTATATAGTTTCTAGAATATAAGAATTGTAGACAGTCATGGAATCCAAGTCGCAAATTTCATCCTATTTGGGTCAGCATAATTCAAACATTCACTAATAACAAATAAATACTATACCTGTTAAATATATTAATGACTAACTGGAATCAGTGTCTTGATATTCAACATATTGACTTTTGAAATAAAATATACCGGGTTTAGATTCTCAATGTGAGTATCAACATCAGTGTTTAAGATGAGTCTTAAATGAAATGAAAAGTCCAATGTACATTTCATTGTTATTCAAAATCTATCAATTCTAAAAACTTATGACAAAATCGTTGTATTGAGATTATCATTATTATATACATATATAAATTAATGACAATTAAATTGTGAATATTAACAATGGGATACTGTAATCTCATGGTAGTAATAGTAGAAACTTTATACTCATAAAGGAAAAAATGAATTCATGTAAAATAAACAACAACAAAAATACAATTCATTGATTGAAAGTTCCCTAAAAAGCGGTAAATCTTATAAAAGGATACATAGAATGAAGAAATAATTCCTTTCAATTAGTTCTTCATTATACCTGTACACTAATACATGTACAATAATAATCTGAATAATAATCATAACTATAATGATAAAGTTAATATCGACTAAGTGAAGACCTATGACTTAACATTAATAAATAATGGATAATATAAATGAATTGAAATACTTGATAATAAAATTGACTGATTGTATAATCAGTAAGAAGAAGTAATCAACACTAAATTCCCATAAGAGTTTGGATAATGTTACGTAAGAATAAAAAGATAATGATTCAAATCATGTAAGCATGTGAAAAAGACTAAAATAATGAAAAAAACTTGAAAATGCTGTCAATTAAAACGAAGTGGACATTAATTGCTTAGACTAGTAGTTACATTACAATTTATTCGATAGAAATTAAAAATTTTACAGATTGAAATCATGAGCCAGTTGAAGCTAGACCACCATTGAAAACCTGGAAGCACTGGACGGCCGTTTTGTCCTATTGTGGGGCTCCTCAGCAGTGCGCATCCACGATCCCGCACCACGCGGGGCTAGAACCCAGGACCTACTGGCTTCGCGCGCGAGCACTTAAAGACAAAGTTCACCGAAGGGATCTCTTTTCAACGAATTTATTATCAAGCTGTACAATCGTATATACATGTATATATATATATATGAAATTTTATTGTTAAAGCATTAATTCCGTGAGGAAATGTGAACACGAATAATCAAGATGACGTTATAGGACTATTATTATACTAGATTACCTAATACGAATAATAACAGTAGATTTAGTGAATATAATAAGATGTTTTTGTTGTGATTATTAAAGGTCATTAAAGGTCATAGAGGAGTAAAAATAAATAAGGTGATACGATAAGCGATATTAACACCGTTGGATGCCGGCTCAGTGGTCTACTGGTTAGGTGCTCGCGCGCCAAGCCAGTAGGTCCTGGGGGGCGAGGTCGTGGATGCGCACTGCTGAGGAGTCCCACCATAGGACGAAATGGCCATCCAATGCTTCCAGGTTTTTCATGGTGGTCTAGCTTCAATTCACTCATGATCTTAACCATTGAAATTACTATAATATCCACAAAACCCATCTGAAAATAATTTTCTATTGTACCATTGATTAATTAGCAAGTAATGGTGACTAATGTCATCCTTGTATGATCTATTAAGTTCTAATCAAATTCTGTTGATTAGATTACAATGTAAACATCTAGACTACGTTTTAATATTAGATGATTGAATATAGTCTACAACAATCTCTGAACTTTGATTTTGTTCTAGTTGGTACTCGTCAATAAGGTTCATCCGTAATTTTTTTGTTGGTAATTAATATCCCATAGTGGATTTGAATTCAGCTTTAATTAGTTTCGTAATGTTAAACATTAGCATTGAACTGTTTAGGTAACAATTAATTGAATATAGAACTAAGAAGTACTGACCAATGTCAGATTTTTCTAGTTCTTTAGGGCTGACTGAATTCTATTCTAAAAATAGCTGAAGTTCTTACCATCCATGAGCTCAAACCAGAACTATACATACAAAAGAAGTACGTCCTATCTTTATCGTTACATTGACCTTAATAATAATAATTACTATTACTTCATTCCTCCTTTACTTATGTCTTATATTCTCACTATTTTATTCATAAATGCTTAGCATATCAGATGGATTTTGTGGATATTATAGTAATTTCAATGGTTAAGATCATGAGTCAGTTGAAGCTAGACCACCATGAAAAATTTGGAAGCATTGGATGGCCATTTCGTCCTATGGTGGGACTCCTCAGCAGTGCGCATCTACGACCTCGCCCCCTGCGAAATTCAAACCCAGGACCTACTGGCTTCGTGCGCGTACACTTAACCACTAAACCACTGAAATGGCCAGCATCAACGGTGTTAATGTCGAACTTCAACTAATCCATGAAAATTATTCCTAATTCATTTTATTATCGAATATTTTATTAAGAAAATATAATAAATTCAATTAATTAATTGTTTTTTAATGTTCAACTTCATACCCCCCCTCCCTATATTTGATTATAGTGTTAATTTGTTCAATAATAATTCATTACTTGACGGACTATATACCCTCGTGCGTGTGTGTGTCTGTATGTGTATATATAAGCGTAATTTATTGATTTATTTACTTACCAAAAAAAAAAGATTTTTTTAAATTTTCATTTTCATTTATTCCCATTTCGTATTTTTTTTTCTCAGAATTTCAAACATTAATTTCCAAGTGTTTTCTTTTTCTTTGTTCTGTTTTTTCTTTCTTTCTTTTTTCAAGCTTCATCGAATCTTTTATATACAAGTAAATGATTGATAATGATGAAGAAACAAATAAAGAAATCAAACAAACAGTAGGTTAAATATTAAACCGTTAATAGACAGTTTCTTTATGTTTATATATATATATCTATATATATGTTAAATAGTATTAATGAAGTACACACAGAAAGAAAAAAGCTCATTTCTGTTTCATGTTTTAAAAAACAAAAATAAGGAATTCGTTTCACCTTATTAGAATTACTCAATTTATATAGACTCAATTAAGGTAAAGGTAGAGTAATGATTTGAGTTTCCCTCTTGTGTGTATCTATATCTATATTATTTCACTTATGTTTTTGTGAATAGAAAAAAAACTATTGATTACATACAAAAGGTGACCTTGAAGGGGATATAAGGTAAAACAAAGAAGGAAAAAATAATGATTAAATAAAGAATAATTAAATTCTTTGTGTAAAAAAAAAGATATGGAATGTTTATTGTATGTTAGAAATATTTATAAAAGTATAACTAATATATTGTCAATCTGATAAGTAAATTGTCATTACAAAGGGGATTCTTTGAGTTTCTAATGAGAAGTCATGACCAATGAAGCTAATCCGTGTCAGGTGTGAGGTAGTTACTTACCGAAGACAATAAAAGATGATCAAAGATGGTTGAAGTTAGATATTAAAACTTTTGGATGTCGGCCCGGTGGTTTAGTGGCTAAGCGATCACACCCAAGACCGAAGGTCCTGAGTTCGAATCCCGCGTGAGAATTCGTACATGGGTACTCGTAAGGAGTTCCACACTAGGGCGAAGCGGCTTTCCGGTATTTCCAGGTTTTCAGCCGTGGTCTAACACTAATCGATTCATGATCTCAAATATATATAAACCGAACAAACAGGGAATAGTTAACTCGATTTTATGTACTTGCATTTATCCAATCTCATTATACAATCTAGTTTGTTAGAGGTGGTCATATCAAGATATGACGTCAGTCTATGAGGTCAATGGTTGTAGGACTCAGTTGTGCAAGTAGATACAGATTGACTGGTTGAGATATGATCGATTACCACAACTAGTTATTGGGAATGATGAGAGATATGGCTCATAATCGATTGCAGTGAAGCACATGCATTCACTCCTTATATTTTCTTACATTTTGAGATTTAAAATCATCTTATACTTTACTATTCCTCGAACTTATTCTTTCTTCTTGGATTATATTACCTATACATAATATATCCTATTACTACTATCACTACTCACATTACTTACTACTACTACTCTTCTCTTTGTTTGTCAATACTTATTAATATAACATATACGTATACTCCTTTCAATTTTGTTAAATAACGGCTTGGTGACTTGTCAATTAAACATGTTTTTTTCTTCTATTTCTTAAATTTAAAGATGGTTTTACCCTTCTATCACATCCCTTCTCCACACATACACACTTATATAGTGATATACTCTGTCTATCTCTTTCAGTCTTACTGACATGAATTATCTTAACCAATCTTTATAATTATATGAAACTCCTAATTTATAATTAATATATGACAATTTACAGACTACTCTAGATACAAGTAATCAGTAATTTAATGTTATCAAGATAAATTAACATGTCTACATTATTCTACATAAACAATATGACTTCCGTTATTCTATTTTAAAGTCTTATTGACAAATTAGAAGAATCAGTTAAGTGGGAGGGGGGTAAGGGCTATTTTATTTTCATCTAAAGTTTTAAAATAAAAAGTAAATGAGATACTTGTCAATAAAATACATGTAACCATTTTTTTATGCTGTTCAAATCTCTTCTACTTCCTGTACTGACATGGTTCTTTTTATAGTAGTAGTACCAACTTAGTGAATATCTAGGATGAAATTGATTATTTGATGAGAAAAATATAATTCTAATTATGGACTGATCTTAATTAACTAACATTGAAAACTAGGAAGCATTGAATAGTTATTCCATCCTGATATGGGACTACTCAATAATGAGTGTCCACAACTTTACTACAGGATGTTGAATCCGAGATTTACAGTTTAGTTCGCAAACACTTAACCTCTAAATCATTGAGCTCAATATTACGAAATGCTTAAATCTACAAATGGACATTAATTAGTGATGGGCTCGGTGGTCTAAGAGATTAGACATGTTGGCTGTGAGGCGGTTAAATATCTGCATTATTGCACGATGATTTGGTAATATCGAGAGTTGATTATTGTTAGAAATGCAAACTATTAGGAGTATGCTAAATAATCTAAAGTTTAAGCTGTTATCGAGAGATCGAAATGCTCTGGATTCAGTCTCCATCAGGACATAGAATGTTAACTACTGAAGAGTTCGGAAATAGGATTAAACAGATGTCTATTGTTTTTTGTCTTTCAACGACTAACTGTCTCAGTAAGATCGGTCATTGATGCAATCTAAAAAAATTAATAATCTCCACAAACTTGCCGATCTAAGTTCGGATATAATGTCGATTAGATATGGGGATAAGTGATCTAAATATTAATGTATCACTGGTTAATTTAAAACAATCTACCACATTGAATAATTTTCTTGATCAGAAGGGGTTTTGTGGAGATTTTAGTAATTTCAATAGTTGAAATCATGAGTCAATTGGAGCTAGACCACCATGGAAAACCTGGAAGCACTGGACGGCCGTTTCATCCTAGTATGGGAATCCTCAACAGAGGAGTGTGAATGTGAAATGAAGAAGAATCTCAAGCTGTGAAAAAATAATTATCTATCTAGTGCACATTCAGTGGTTATTTACCTGCATGATGAAAATTCTCCAAGCAGTAAACTGTTCTCCACAATCTACTGGATTACGTAATATTATTGGTTAATATCATCAGTAACTGATTGAAGTTACCGAGAAAAACTACAAGATAACAACTTTGTGGTTTAAAGGTTAAGCGCTCGCCATGGAACCTGAAAGTCATGAGTTAGGTCCCTGGACGATGCATGATTATTCATAACCGGTGATGAATCTCATTCTAGGATAAAACAACTGTTTATTGTTCCTTGGTTTTCAACACACATCTAACTAAGATCAGTTGATGATATAAACTATTATACCAATCTTACTGAATAATCTTCACTCGATTAATGATGGTAAGGTTTATATTAATTATCTACAACATAATTATTTTAGTAAGGAAATAATTATTCGTGTTTAAATTATTCTTTTGTATTTTCTTTGAAATATACTACTTACTATTATTTTGATTAGTTAGTCTACATAATTTATTATCCATATTATCATCATAGTATACTGCTTAAGTTATAGGTTAATAATAATTAGGGTAATTATATTCAATGTATTATCTCATATTGCATGCATTAATCCCAACGAAAAATTTTTTTTACTTCCCATTCATGTTATACTCCTTTGTGACAATAAATAAACAGTAATAATTTAGGGAATGTTAATTCAATCAACAAAAAAATCATTCATGTAGATACACATACACACATAATCAATACAATAACCACATACATGTATTCATTTATTAAAATCAAGTTATCTTTATAGAATACGATTGGTGATGCTAATAGTACTACTACTACTACTACTACTACTACTACTACTACTACTACTACTACTACTACTACTACTACTACTACTACTACTACTACTACTACTACTACTACTACTACTACTACTACTACTACTACTACTACTACTACTACTACTACTACTACTACTACTACTACTACTACTACTACTACTACTACTACTACTACTACTACTACTACTACTACTACTACTACTACTACTACTACTACTACTACTACTACTACTACTACTACTACTACTACTACTACTACTACTACTACTACTACTACTACTACTACTACTACTACTACTACTACTACTACTACTACTACTACTACTACTACTACTACTACTACTACTACTACTACTACTACTACTACTACTACTACTACTACTACTACTACTACTACTACTACTACTACTACTACTACTACTACTACTACTACTACTACTACTACTACTACTACTACTACTACTACTACTACTACTACTACTACTACTACTACTACTACTACTACTACTACTACTACTACTACTACTACTACTACTACTACTACTACTACTACTACTACTACTAATATTGGTAATAATAATAATAGCAGTGATAATAATAATAATGATAAAAACATCTGGTATTTTTTTGTCATATGTCACTATAATTAAACTTTTCCAATCATTAGCCTTTATATTTCCTGATATTGAAGACTACATGTATACAACACATAAACTCAGTTTTATCATATTGACCGTGAGATTTCAAAGTTTCGCATTCAATCCTATGATTGAAGATGGATTCTATAACTGGTGACTTTTGGTGATAAAAAAATATGAAAGGTTTAAAAGTTCTGGATTGATCACTGATGGTATTTTGGAGATAATAAGCTGTGGATTCACCATGATAAGATGAAATATTTGTCCAGTACCTCTCAAATTTTTATATGGTTTCTTAACTGAAATTCATTTATGATATAAAATTACAAATTTAAAAATCACAATAACTCTTCATTCCAAAAAAATTACTTTAAGAACTATTCTACTGAAATCAACTATTCCACTGACGATTTATTGTATACTACAGAGAAATATTAGTCAACAACATAGTAGAGGTTAACAAGGCAAAACAATCAGTTTCAATAAAATGAAACACCTATAAAAATAACCGATTACAAATAAAGTCAATAAAACGAATCGATTGAACACGTTTGACACAAGCAATAAATTAACTTCCACAGGAAATAAGCATTGATGACTTTACTCAAAAAAGATAATGAAAAGTCTACAATATTAGAGCATCTAGCTAAGAGTATTCAAGAAAAGACATTTGTCCAATACCATCCAACTTTCACTAGTGACTGGCTTCAAGAGGTATTTCCTAAATTTCTAATGAAAAGCGGTGATCAACGGAGTTCAACGAGGTTTGTTTTGAGTCAGTTACTGATTGAAGACAATGGTGGAATGTGGCTCAATTTCATTGATTGGTTAAAGTTAAACATTAACACCATTGGATGCTAACTCAGTGATCTAGATTTTGAACGTTTGAATTCAAATCTCGCGAGGTGAGATCGTGTATGTACATTGCTGAGGAGTCCCACATAAAATCAAAACGTCCGTCCAGTGCCTCCAAGATTTCCATAATGGTCTAATTTCAATTCACTCATGAAATCAACTATAAAAATAAGATTTTCTTAGAAAGATTCAATTCATTTATTAAATTAGGATCATCTCTTTGCTTAACTCTTTGATATTTTGAAAGATTTTTCTTTCTCTGTTTATTCATAATAATAATAAAATTAATTTTCTGTTAATTTCTCTCATTTCTGTTTAGTTTAAATAGTTAATGAGGGATATATTTTGAATGATTAGGGGATTTGTTTCTTTGTTTGTTCCCCCCCCATCTCTCTCTTTTGTAACATATAAACTTTTCTAATAAGATCTCTGTAAAATCTATTAAATTATGATTTTTTTCCGTCTTTTTCTAATTATAAATAGTTTAATTTAGAGATTGTCTAGACATTAAATGATTTGGACATATGTTACTATGGTTAGTAAATTTATTATCTAATTTCGGGGAGACTATAATATTTGAACAAACCAATCATGTATAAGATAACTGGTCTCGGATTTTGGCACGAAATCATTTTATCCATTTGGATAAATAAAGTGTTGGCATTATACTTGATGTTAGTTCGTGATGAAAACACTCAGTCGAATTTCTAACTTTAATCATCAACTGTAAATTATTATTCTAATTCTTTATACTGGTTTATAACCCTCATTCAGTATTATTTATTAGGTGGACACTCATAAATTATAGTCTCATCAGAAAAATATTAGTTATCAGAATGGGAATTTGTGGAGATTATAGTAATTTGAATAGTTGGATTCATGAATCAATGTAATCTCGATCACTATTGAAAATCTGGAAGCACTTGACGTCTGTTTCGTTCTAGTATTGTGAGTTGACTGAAGTTAAATATTAACACCGTTGGATGCCAGTTCAGTTGTTTAAATGTTGAGCGTTTGCGTGTAAAACTGAAGGTGATAGGTCGAATTCCCTTTGATGCGTGATTGTGGATCTACTCTGTTGAGGATTTCCATGCTAGAATAAAACGGCCATCGAGTGTTTCCAGAATTTCACTAGTGATCTAGCTTAGATCGTTTCATGAATCCAATTACCTAACTTTTAATTGTAAAATTTTGTAAATGATACAATGCTGACTGACAAGAATTATGTTTTTTGTGATATTCTAATGTTTAGGAAAATTGTATTTCTCACGTTTCGTGACTTCATGTAAGTCACCTATTCAGAATAAATAAAAAACCGAAATAATTTAACACAAGTTTAAATAGCACAAAGGAATTTGTGTTTATTTGATGTCGGTTATTTATTTACTCTGAAGAGGTGGCTTACACAAAGTCACGAAACGTCAGAACTCCAAACTTCCTAAACATTGGGACATCACAAAAATATAATTGTTTTATTACTATTATAATTAACTTTCTACCCAATGCTCAATTAATTTAAAACTATCACTCAGAGGTCGTCCATAAATTATCGTCTCACCGAATGTTTTTCTTTAAGAAAAAAACTAGAGCACAGATTGATGGTGGTTAGTGGTGTAATCCAGTATACGCGTTTCTTCCTATTTGGAACTTGTCAGTTGGATGTACCTGTATGTGTTGATTTCTACTCGGGGACTCGAACCCAATACTGTTCGCTTCAAATACCATCGAGTTATCTACATAACTACTGAGTCCTGATAACCAACAGTGTGTGCAATAGGATGAATCTAAATTCATTTCGTATTGTTTGTTTGAGTACCTGCTTCGGTTTGGGCACCCGGGCAGTATCACAGCCCTCACACATATCGAATGAGATTTGTGTGGCGCATATGTATTTGGTGCCTCTTTGTACCATTATCTATGTGTTGAAATAAATAAATAAATAATAATGTTTGTTTGAGTATTCTCACTTTTGTTTAGGACTACAATTGATTAGTCACTTATTGGCAAATATGTATCCTGTTCTGATTGCTTCGATATTGTTTTAAGTCACAAGTATTATAAGCGTAAGTAGATGATGACTTCAGGCAATATTGAGGTTATCCGAACAGAATGCATATATGCCAATGAACTAGAAAACTAAAGGAAACCTAGGTAGATTAGCTACGGACACTTTTTATGTCCTATAGTCATCAAATTCAGCAGAAGCCTATAATCTCTAAAGTTTTTCAAAGTATAAAAAGTCATCATGAAATTACATAGTTGAATTTTTTTTAATTTTGCGACAACATTCGTCATAAATTAATGCCAGTTGGGACATCATTTTAAACTAGGTTGCATTGAGATTGATCTATGACAAATACAATTTAGAAATTACACCGATCTTTCATAAAATTCTTTTCATGAAACCATAATACTCAGCTTACTAGTGAGTCACTCCAAAGTGTTTCAAAAGTTTTAGTAGAAAGTTGTGACTGATGAAATACAGATATGTTGGAAGTGAGACAGTTATCACCAATGATTTGTTATATCTCTAAAACATTGAAACTGGAATGGTAAAACTGAACACTGATCAAGTATTTTTTTTAGTGGCTAAGAATTTACTGTGAAACTTATAAGTTGTGGTGTGAATGAGTATTAATATGGATTTCCATACTAAGATGCAACAACTATTCGTTGTTCTTTTATTTTCACTAATAATCCACCTACTATCAATCCATAGTGAATATAACCTAGAAATTACATCGATCTCTATCAAACTCTGTTAGTTAAGTAATTTCTCAGAAAGTTACCAATGATCAAATTTTTTCACAGATTGAAATCATGAGTCAGTTGAAGCTAGACTACCATTGAAAACCTGGAAGCTTTGGACGGCCGTTCCGTCCTAGTATGGGACACCTCAGCAGTGCGCATCCACGATCCCGCACCACGCGGGGATCGGACCCAGGACCTACTGGCTTCGCGCGCGAGCACTTAACCATTAGACCACTGAGCCGGCATCCAACGGTGTTAATGTCTAACTTCAACCAATCCACGAAGTCGCGCCACCGTACACCATTGTCTTCAGTGAGCTGATATCTCACAACAGACCTGGTTGAAATCATGATTTCAATCTGTGAAATTTCTAAAATCTCCACAAAACCCATTCTGATCAAAATCTTATAAAAAAATTTTATTACCAGTTATGGGGTCAAATTCAAATAAAGTTTAACGAATTATAAATGAGTTTTAATGATGACAATGATTAATAACATCAAGACCATTTCCAAACAAATTCTCTAATACATCTTAAATTAGTTACTAAGACATTTTATTTACCTCAGATTTTACGATTAATACTGAACAAAAGAATAAATGACATCTTTTTTCAATAGTTACTTATCGCTAATTAATAAATTGAAACTACTAACCGTGAGTAAAGATTTGTAATTTCCTGTTGTTGATAATTATGACTACAGCTGATAAGGTTGCGTTGCTATATGTGCATCTTAAGCGGATCGCTTAGACATTACCTCAAGCCAACCAAATTGGAATAAGTTATTTTCAATATGGGACTGTGGAGATTGTTGAATTTTTACCAAAATCATGAACCGATCAATGTTAGACCACTACTGGAAATCTGAAAGCACCGAACAAACGACTCTTTATGGTATGAGACTCCTCAGTAATTTGCATCCACGATCCCGAAGGCCGAATTCGAACTCAGACCCCTCAGTTTCGCACGTGAACTATTAAACTTGTTGTGACTTGCAGTGTCCAAAATCTGATAGTGGTACACGGTGTGTTATGCAATAATCCCATCCACCAAACTGACTACTTGAGCGAAAATGTGTATTGAACTACCTAATAAAATGCAAAACACTAATTCATATATATATATATATATCGTTAGAAAATTGACTCATTGAGCCCAATGAAATGCACTCAACCTTTGACTGACTTCTGATTGCCACCGATTAACCTTTCTCTACTTCTTATTGTCTCTCCATTTCAAACATCTAAGCTGATGAGCCGTCATCAAACGGTACACATGTCTAACTTCAACCAAAAATAAGCCACATTTAAAAGATAAAGTCGAAAAATTCTTCAATGGTTTCATTTGGATATGATATTATTGTTGAAGAAAAGTAAGGGAACACTAATGTATATCTGAATTAGTC